AAAATTCGATTATTAATGAATTACTGGATTTTTTCTGGATATCCACTCTGTGCCAAAGACTAAAAAGTACTGATTGTTATGAATTTCGATTTTTTGTTCGGTTACATATAGATCAGTTCCAATTCGGGAATACAAAACTCGATTCGTTTCTAATGAGTAAATTCTGGTTCATTACACTTCCGTCTTTTTACCTGCCCTTTCAATTTCATTTTTTCTTTTAACGCGGATTTCTCTTTTGGCATTTTTGCATCAACCTCTTTTGTCCATTTCATGATTAAACTTGCATTTAACATGAAACAATACTAGAGAATTGATATTACGAATACGAGGGAACATATTCAAAGTCCAAGTTTATGCAAACCTCATTTCGAAGAGCCAAAACACCCGTTATATTCTTTCGGAACGACAAGTCAGCATAAATATCAAAACGGTTCTACTAAATCCAATTCAGACATAAACAAGAAGATTCCAAATAGGGTATCTAGACTTTACGAGAAAATTATTTTCTTAGCAATTGTGATCTAAATTACATGTTGAACGAATTACTAATCACTAGAACTCTTTTTATCCTAAAAACGCCACCCTTTTGTGATACCCATGAACCTAGCGCTATCGCCTCAACGGGTCTTGTAACACACGACCTAGTTATCACTAAAATCCTGAAGTTGTGATCTTTGAAATTTCACTGCAAACTTCAGGTCCACAGATCAGACATAGGAGCCTAGCCGGCACTCACTCCTGCCGATTCTCGTGGAACATATGTTGCTAGAAAAGAAAAATAAATGAGAATAATAACTCTATGAATTGTAAAGGGTATTGCATTTGCCTAAATGAGTACATATTACAAGATGAAACATATATGACTGGTTTGTTTGTGTTGAACAACAGAGTCGAAAAAGAAGGAACAAAGGGAGTTGAGTTCTGCTTTAGAAAAGGAAGTGAAAGAAGTAATCGAAGATGAATGCACTCACCTGAAATCATCATGAACCAATTTGCAATGCATTTTGGAGTTAATTATCCACTTCCATTCTATAAAACAAAAACAAAACATTTCACATTGTGAAAAAACAAAACCACAGTATAAACCGCACATGCGTAAATAATAATAGATCCCCAAGAGAAACACAACAAGAGCAAGAGAAGGAAAGTAAGGAGAAAAAAGAGGGTAATTTTGCTCAAGATCAAAGTGAACAAAAACCTACCTCTTTTTTTTGTATCTCCAATATGATGATTCATAGAACATTTTACTAAAATCCCCCCCCTCAACACACACAAACTCATAGAACACATAACAGCTGATTCATTGATTCCTCTTTTTCTCTCAATATGGACGAGACCGGTTTCCCCCATGGTGGTTTCTGTCTGGACCTGAACCATAGTTATCTCTTCTTCTGTCT